ATGCTATCCGATTCTCTGTCAATAGAAACTACCTCTATCTCTGCCCATTCCTCTCTTCACACAAATTTCGACATTACCGTCACGCAATATAGAGAATTCCTGGTGATTTAGAATGCAATCAAACTGGCACCGCCTTTCTTCCTTTGTCTCCTTCTTCTCATTTCACACTCTGTTTGCTTCCTCTTCTTACATTGCTTCTTTTTCATCCTTTATTCCTGCTTTATTTATATGTTCCTCGTTCTTCACATGAGTTCGATTTTTGCTGGGGTTTTTTCTGTTTTTTTTCTTTTGGCATATTTTTTTGTCATTGTGTTCTGTTCTTTCCTCGTTTTAACAGGTCTTACTCCTCGTCTTTTTATTCAACTATTTCATCCTTATCTTTTTTCAGATAATTTTTTTCTGTCACCTGGCCACCTTAATGTTACTATGAACGTCGTCGGGTCTAGTTTAATTTCTTCTTCTTCTTCTTTTTCTTCTTCTTCTTCTTCTTCTTCTTCTTCTTCTTCTTCTTCTTCTTCTTCTTCTTCTTCTTCATTATCTTTTTGTTTTCTTTTTCTTCCTTCTTTTTCCTTTTCTTCTTTTTCCTCACATTTCTTTCTTTTTCTTCTCTTTTTTCCCTCTTCATCTTCTTCTTCATCTTTTTGTCTTCTTTTTTCCTCTTTTTCTCCTTCTTCTTCTTCTTCATGTTTTTGTATTGTTCCTTTTTCTTCTTCATGTTCTCCTTTTCCCTCTTGTTTTTCTTCTTCTACCTCTTCTACTTTATCATTATTTTTTATCTGCTTCTACTTCTTTTGCTTCACGTCATATATTCTCTTCCTTGCTGTAATTTAATGCATTCGTTTTATTATATTTTAAATATATCCCTTCTTTAATCTGTCTTTTCATTCCTATAAAGTCCAACTGATTAACATTGTTCTGTTTTTCTAGTGACATTCTTGCATATTTTTCTTTTTTCTTATTCTTATTTTTTCGAGTTATTTTCCTTTCCCTTATCATCTTTTTTCCACTTCCTTCTTTTATTTCGCCATTATCTATTCTCCTCTTTTTCTTGTTCAGTTTCTCTTTACAGTTTATATTTCTTTCTTTATTTCCTTTTCTATTCTCTTCCTTTGCAACATCCTTTCCTCCATCTCATCTTATTTCTTTTAGATTCTGCTTTTTTTAATCTTTCTTTTTCTTTCTTTATATCCGCTTCATCTGACAATTTCCAAACCTCTTTCTTTGTTTCTTTCGATATTTCAAAATCTCTTCTCCAAATAAGTCTTTTGACTTTACTTTTCGCGCCAAACGCTATAAGCGTTAACATCATTGCTTTCGCTTTTTATTTTCTTATCATCTTTTCCTTCCAAAGTGGTCCTACTGTGAAGCTGATTAGATATCAGCCATGATGTTGGGAGGAGGAAGGAGGTCTGCACAGGCAAACGATTCGCCCCACACAGCAACACAAATATCTAATTGCTTGCAGATCAAAGGTGTGTGCCATACTATTTGTTTTTCACCGTTTCTCATCCGCAAAGCAAGATGTCTTCCCCGCCATACCAGTTTCTTTTCTCACAATTTTTTTTTTTTTACTTTATAGTTTTATTTGCTCATATTACCCCAAAATTCGTTTCGTTTTTATTTTACTTTGGTTTCGTTTCTCCTTCATTACTTGACGATTTTCATTTCTCTATCCTTTTTAGTTAAAGATTTTCTTAATAACTATTTGAAGTCTCTTTCTTATTTGCAAATATTTCATTTCCCTTTTCGCAATCAATTTGTTTTATTTCAACTATTTTATTTTCTTATTTTTTGTATTGCCTTTTATTTTTTTAATGTTTATACGAAAAACCAGGGAGTTTCTTTTTTTTTAAACTTTCTGTTTTCTTCTACGTTGTATTTTCTTACTTTCTTTTTATTTTTACTTTTTAATTATATTTTTTTTGTTTCAATCCATTGATATATTTTTCAGAAATATATGCATGTTACCATTTTTCATCATCCTGTTTCAGATTTTATTTTCTTTTTTTCAAAACTCGCTTTGTCTTTGATATAACTTATATATTTTAATTTTCATTTTTATTCTCATTTCATTTTCCTCTTCAAGTCGCTATTTTTACCCATTTTTCTTTCTTTCATCTTTTCTAACATTTTTCTTTTTCTTTTCAGTTTCCCTATTTTTATTTTACCCCACAACTTTTTTTTTTATTTCGCTTTCATTTTTTTTCCATTTTTTTTTGTATTGAACGCTTTTTTTTTACCTTTTCGTCCACATTTTTTTTTGTTTTATTGAAACCTTTTTCTTTTTAGATATCGCTTAACCCACCATCCCACTTTTAGTTTTTCATGGATTTTTTTCTCTTCTCCGATACTCTTCTTTATCCTTTCTATCTTCTTCGATCATACTTAATATTTATCTTTTCATTTTTATATATTTATATTTTAATCTTTTTTTATTTCTGCTTTATTTATTCCTGTGGACTCCTCAACCGTTTCTTTCATCTTTCGAAATTTATGTTCCTTTTCATATTTTCTTAAATAACTTCTTTTATTTAAATTTTTATATAAAATCTTAGCAAAAATTTCCTTGGAATTTCCCTGCTATAATTACGTAATTTAGTAAATAATGGAACGAGGTTCAAATGCAGACAGTTTACTTTTTGGGAATTACAAAACTATTTCAATATCACACATTCTTGTTACATTTCGAATATATTTGATGATTTTCAAGTTTCAGTTATCTTCCCTGATTTCTACATGTCGTTTTAAAATATTTGCACTTAACGCTTTTTAATTTATTTTGTCTGTGACGATTACTTGAAACAAAAAAGATTTGTCTCTTTTAACTTCCAAAATTCAAAGTATTTATTTCTATATTTGAAGACTAAAGAGCCAGCTATTTTACTCATTACTTGGACTATATTTTGACCAAATTTAGTTGCGTTCAAATGTTTGCCGTTCGAAGTAGATATCTGTTATATCTATGGATAGCAGCTCGAAGTGAAGTACTGGAGTGTTGATTTCGAATTCCACTCAGGTACGTTACATTCTCTTTTTCGCCAATTCGTTTCAGTCCGTATCCCAACCCTATCTATGGATTAAATTGTAAGACAAAAATCTGTAAAAATCATTGTTACTCTTAAAAATTGTTAATATATTATTCACTAAAAGAAAGGAATTACAAAGGAACATTTTCCGCTTTCAATAACACACAAAATGTAAAATACAAACAAATCAATAAAAACACTTTTTTGAAATATACAAACTTAATACAGAAATGACATTTTTTTTTAAATTTACATGATGAAAATCTTCGCACTCGCCTAATATAAAAAAACATTAAGACTATATCAGAATTGTAAAAGGAAGTTCTGATATAGTTTTTTTTTCTTTCAGAACTGTATAAAGAAATTATGGCCGAGTGGTTAGAAAGTTTGCATTCTGACCGTGAGACCCGTGTTCGAATCTCGTCATTGTCGATTCGTCAAGAAGGAGAATTCCTAATGCTATCGGACTAGAGTAGTCGATCCCAGCATGCGACACATTTGGAAAGTGCCTGAAAACCATTCATGTGAAATTTGGTACAAGGATATGATGTCGATAGCACGAAGTCACAAGCCATCGTGGCCGAGGTCTTCAGCGTGCTGGCCTTGTTCAAATTGTTGATAATTTGCTCTTTCCCAGAAACTGTAACTAAGATCTGATCCGCATAGATGCATAATAGACCACAGGTGGGCTCTGTGGGTGTTGGATAAACACAAATGCACCTGATAAAACGTCTGCAATAGAGATTAGCTAGCCACCCTACTAGACGGGGATCCTTGAATAAGAGTGGCCAGCTACACAGACATACTCAAGGAAGTTGTTTACTAATTTCAATCTAGTTTCACACAAGGCAGTAAACATATAGTTCCTAATGAAGGCTCAAACTCACTACTCAGGAAATCAGTGGTTCTCAACTTTTTCTTTTTAGCCATGGACAACTTTTACTCTTCATCTTTTTAGGACCACCATTCGATGAATAAAACATTTATTTTTATTTTTATTTTTTACAAATAGATTTACGATTTGTATTATAGAAATAGTAAAGGTATATGCGTTATTTTGTAAGTAAAGCTAAGTTAATGAAAATAAACTCAATATAGTTAACAACTAAATTATATGGAACATTTATGTACACTAGTATTAATAAATAATGATAAAAAAATATTTTATTTTATTTTACAATGAAAACATCCAATAGAGTAAAAGGACACTAACTCGTGTTCTGCTAGCCTTATAGATGTTTTACTATTTTTAGTATTTTAATATACACATACTTCTATAATTCTGAGATGTAGTATTGAAACATTGCACATGATTTACATTGTTCGGACTGTTTTCCTCACCTTTATTGCCATATTTTCGACGTTTCGGTCATTGTACGCTTTGGCCTTCTTCAGGTGTTATACGTTGTGATTTCGAAACGAAACCTTTATTTAGTACACCGGGGTAGATTGTTCTATTACTACGTACCACGTATTCTTCTGGATTTCCCAGTCTCAGCCATTTTCCCTCCAAGTTGTTGTTAATCTATACAAAGGCCAGTTATTGAAATCAAAACTCTTCGGGTCAAGTTATGGCCTTTTTTGAAATGATCGTGTATATGACATTAAAGATGAGGACAATAGTTCGAACAATGAAAATAGTTACAAAATAAATAGTTATATACACATAGTAGGCTAAGAACAAATTTTAACTTAGAGTTAGTCATATCCTCATAATATATATTTCTTACTTTCTCCTGTCCTTACGTGCTTAAACAATTTCACACAGTAGACCTCTCGCTTAAATGGCTCGTCGGCCTATTTTTTAGTGTGACATAAAAATGAACAAAAACAATCTACATGTCCATGTTTTATTTTTCCTACGTGACGCCAGATAGTAGACAACGTGTATAGAGATCTCCTAAAATGATTAGAAATTTCTATCTATAAAAGGCAGGATGTGTGTGTGTGTGTGTGTGTGTGTGTGTGTGTGTGTGTGTGTGTGTGTGTGTGTGTGTGTGTGTGTGTTGTGAATACAGGGCCGCAATTTTCGACGGATTTGCACCAAAATTTACATGCACATGCTCCAAGTTACCGGAGAGGCCAAGACCGATGTTGCATTTCCCAACTCACATCAACAGTGGAAATAATAGATTTTTTCATGCTTCTACGGCACTTTCATATAGTTTGCGGCCATTTTCTACTTGTCAGGGTGAGAGCCAATATTTGGCTGCCACGAATAGGCAGGAAGATTCTATTGGCCAGCGTGAGAGCCAACAGCTGACTGACACGAATGTTAACTAGCATGCAAAAAAATCGATTGCTGCATTCGTCACAAGTGGGAAAAATTTAAATCTGCATGGCACTTTACTCCAATTGGTTCATTCGCTTGCTTAAACTCAACGTTGATTCTGATTCCGCAGAACTAGATTCGGTGTGAAAATGCATTTGTTGTCAACATTCTTTTTTCATTCGTTTTTTTTTGTCAGTTACGAGTCCTTTTTTTTTTAAAGCTGATCGTTTTGTGTTCATTCTTTTTTTCGTAACAGATTTAATGTTTAGTATAGAGCTTAGAAAAAATTTGCAGTGCCAGATAGGCAAGAAGTAAGGCATGTAGCAATATCAGCACGGCAAAGGGCTACCCTTTTAAAGGCAAGGAAGGGCACACATATTTTAAGTCAAGTGATAGCGATTGCTGTATGAGTCGTACGATTTTTGAATCAAGCACGGGCAACGCCGGGCCAGCTGCTAGTCTGCTTATATGCACCAGAAGTAACGTGACTGAATGACAAACATCAGGTACATAAGAGGAAAAACAGCTGACAACGAATATGTTTACTGAAATTTGCAATGGCGACTGGAATAAACATTTTAAACCAGAATGTATTAAAACCTTTATCTGGTCACTATTTCTAATTTAAGTCCCACAAAATACTATTTTTGCAACATATTTTTAGGCTTCAAGTCTCGTTGCTGTAGTGCAGCACATGCCAGTGCATGCCCTATAGAGAACAATTTTTGGTTAGTAGTAATCTTCTTGTTCTGCCAGATTCTCGATGTCACCCTCGCAGACGTGGTGTCAGCTCGTCCGATCCGTCTGTTGATCTCAGTGTCTGCGGAGAAGGTATCTGAAATGGTGGGGCCGAGATATGTGAATTCATGAAGTCCTTCCAGGTCATAGTTATTGATTTTGATGGTGGGAGACTGTTCAACGCCTTTGCGCATCACATTTGTTTTCTTCTGACTTATGGTCAGACTGAACTCTTGGCAGACTTTTGAAAAATTGTCCATGAGTCTCTGCAAGCATTGATATAAATAAAAATACTAATAAATAAATTAGTAAGTCTGTACGATCCTAAACTATTACATTAAGCAAAATAAAT